GGGTATCACATTGAACGCTGCTGCTCTGAGGCCTAACAGTCACCGTTTCAGAACAACACATGATGGCCCCTCAGGTCTGGGAGGAGATGTCTCAATGCATTGAAGACGACCATCATCTCTAGGCAATTCATGTGCCAAGCGAGATGATGACTCCTCCCAAGCCCTGAGCTGAGCGGCCTTCCAATACCGCTCCCCAGCCGGTGAGGGAAGCATCTGTCGAGATAGCAACTCGATGGCAAAGAGCTCCCAACACCGAACCCTGGGTTAAGAACCAGTGTTTCCTCCATATAACCAAGGCACGAAGGCACGGCCGCGTGATCTTGATCATACGAAGTGGGTTTACCCTCGGGGAGAACCCTCTGGTCCTGCGCCACCACTGCAAAGGTCTCATGTACAGCAGGCCAAAAGGTATCCCGTTGGACGCTACTGCCACAAGACCCAACAGTCTCTCGAACTGTTTTACAGTGCGTGACTGGCCTAGCCTCAGCTCTTTTGTGGCTGTTAGGATAGCAGCTACACGAACGGGCGACAGAGTGGCCCGCATCGTCACTGAATCCCATACCACACCAAGGAAAGTGGTTCTCTGTACTGGAGAAAGCACACTCTTCTTGGCATTGAGCCTCAACCCCAACATCTGCATATGAGCGAGAACGACACCTCGGTGCCGAACCGCTAACTGTTCTGATTCCGCTAGAATCAGCCAGTCATCTATGCAATTCAGAATGCGTATACACTGCAGCCTGGCGGGGCCAGAGCTGCGTCTACACACTTCGTGAATGTGCGGGGTGATAGAGCTAGACCGAAAGGAAGTGCCTGATACTGGTGTTCTTTGCCCCAAAGAAAACCTCAGGAACCTCCTGTGCTGAGTGGAGGATGGAGATATGGAAGTATACGTCTTTTAGATCTATCGTGACAAACCAGTCCTCGGATCTGATTTGAGTCACGATCTGTTTGAGTGTCAGCATCTTGGACTTGAGTTCCAGCATCAAACACTCCAACAGACGAAGATCTAGTATGTGACGCAGCTCTCCATCCTTTTTTGGAACAATGAGATAACGACTGTAAAGACCCGACGCAATGTCGGGTGAGTACACCTGCTCTATAGCTTTCTTTGCTAACAGGGCCTTTACCCCTTGCTCCATTACCAGAGAGATTACCATTACCCATAGAGATATATTTGGCAGTAGCTTCCGCGCTGCCAGAAAATCTACCAAGGGAACCAGCCCCTCGAGGCTGGCCTCTGGTGTAATAAAGACAGCCAGTTCGGGGACCTGAAACATACTGGCAGGAACCACCCGAACTGACTGTTTTCGAACCCCCCTCAGAGGGCGCGAGTCCGACGCAATGTCGAGTTGACGCTGCGCCAGAAGCTCGCTGGAGAACGCTGCGCCCCGAAGCACCAAGGGTGGCGGGGTTGGCAGAACGGTCCCCTGAGGGCACAGAGATGGAAAGGGCACCGTATAATGAGGTGTACACCATTCCACCCCGGTTGGGGCTGCCCTCACCGGTCTGACGCCGTGGCGCCAGACCTTTTCCTTTTGAGCCGCAGCCTTCTCAGCATGAAGAACGGTCCTCGGATCCGGCTTCTGCTTTGAAGGCTTTGGCTGCTGTGTTGTGTATGAGAAACTAGCCGGCTGGAGCTGCTCACGCCCAGCAGCCCCAGTGGGTTGGACATAGCGAGGGAGAGATTATCTTGTATCTTTCTCCATGATTCCCATCAAATTGAGCCAGAGGTGTCTCTCAGTGACCACATTTCTTTGGCTGCCATCCCTGAGAGATAAATCTGAGGCCCGACGGAGTTCTCAAACCCCATCGGGCCAAACTCCCTCACTTCTGTCCAAATACCACAGCAGGTCAGCCTGATATGCTTGCAGCACTGCTATAGTGTGCAAGCAGGCTCGCGCTAGACCCACTGCCATATATGCTTTTCCCACTAGATAAAAAAATAGTTTTCTTTAATGGTTTAGTGAGAGAAGCCGACGCCTTCAGGGACGATACTGAACCGGGAGACATAGCTCGCAAGTGTCTGTTCTACCCGGGGTATTGCCCCATAGCCATACTCTCTTAACCCCCAAATATCTGAATATACATGAATGTGGGGCTAAAAAATGAGTAAGGCTTTTTCCATGATCTAGACAGCTCGCTGTGCAGATCGGGAAAAATGGAAGGCCCCGTGATGGAGGTGGAAAAATAGAGGGAAGGAAAATCGTTCAATTTATTTTAAGTGCCCCCTTATTTCTGCTGGCCATTAAATATTTAATTTATCTACAGCCTTAGTAAACACCTCCACCAGCTTATTATTATATATATATTTTTTATATACATTCTTTATATATATACACTTTATTTTATATATAATATATAAACTATCATATATATATATATATAGGCTATATATAATTCTCATACGCTGGGGAAGAGATGGCAAATCCACTTCCCCCATGATTGTGTACACTTTCAATGCCCAGCACATCTACCTCCTCGGAGGTAGAGCACTGAAGCATTGATTTCTCTCCCCGGGCGGAAGAGACCGCAGCGCGGGCTTCCGAGACCGGAGAGAGAGCACTGGATCCCTCGTGGAAAGGGAGGAGATAAGATCCGCGGACCCGTCTCCAACCCCGTAACGAGATCCTATTCGCGATCCACAGGAATGCATTCTCCGCGCTGCCTCGGCGGACGCGTGTCCTGCACCCCGAGGATCGCGAGCCTGGCCACTTTCCTCGAAAAGTGACAGGCGGGAGTGGAGCATGCGAAGCGAAAGCTTCTCACAATGTTGCAATCAGCCCCCTCGGAGGCTGATACCGCATGCTCCACTCCCAAACAAACTACACAAAGCTCGTGTGTGTCCCCACCCGTTAAATAACGCGGGCAGGGAGAAGCACAGAGTTTGTAAAGTTGTTTCGCCATAACTCTTCCCAATAATATCGAACAGACAACAATAAATAGACAGAGACAGAGTAACACAGATCGCTTGCTGAGACACAGAAGCTAATGCCGCGTTTCACCGGATGTGCTCTTATGCCTTCCTGGTCATGACGTCACCCGCCCGTGACGCTCATTCTTTCCATTGGACTAGTTGACATTGATGCTCAGACGCATTCACGCTGGGGGCGTTCCCAAAGCGTCAAATGACGCATCGCGAGTTCCCTCGAAAGGGAAATGGAATTGTCTTGCGTTAGCAGCAGGTTGTTTAAGAATATATATATATATATATATATATATATATCACGCTTCTCTGTCTGGCAATCCAATGGACGAGTCAGGGTTTGGCGGTTGCCAGGAGAACGGTACTTGCCTGACTGCATTGTGCCAAGTGTAAAGTTTGGTTGAGGGGTGATAATGGTGTGGGGTTGTTTTTCATGGGTTAAGCTTGGCCCCTTAGTTCCAGTGAAAGGAACTCTTAATGCTTCAGCATACCAAGACATTTTGGACAATTTCATGCTCCCACCTTTGTGGGAACAGTTTGGGGATGGGCCCTTCCTGTTCCAACATTAATACGCACCAGTGCACAAAGCAAGGTCCATAAAGACACGAATAAGCGAGTTTGGTGTGGAGGAACTTGACTGGCCTGCACATAGTCCTGACCTCAACCCGATAGAACACCTTTGGGATGAATTAGAGCGGAGACTGCAAGCCAGGCTTTCTCGTCCAACATCAGTGCCTGACATCACAAATGCGCTTCTAGAAGAATGGTCAAAAATTCCCATAAACACACTCCTAAGCCTTGTGGAAAGCCTTCCCAGAAGAGTTTGAAGCTGTTAGCTGTAAAGGGTGGGCCAACTCCATATTAAACCCTACGGATTAAGAATGGGATTTCATCAAAGTTCATGTGCATGTAAAGGCAGACGTCCCAAAAATGTTGTCAATATAGTGTGTGTATATATATAATCTTGCTGGATAAGAAGTTTCAGTAGGCCACCCATAGATCAAACCAGCACACTGGTAAATTATCTCAGTATCGCTTTGTAGCTCTTTATCCTTGCAGTTTGACAGCAATTGTTTCCTTTGTCTTCTGTTTGTATTTTTCCTAAAGAATTTTAGTAGTACTTTTGAGAAAATGTTGCTATTATATTTACCTACACATGTTCACCTACACAGAAACATTTCGCTCAGGGTGTGGAAATTAGGGCACATAATAGGGTTAGCCATTCATTATGTGTCGTGCTCCTTTTTGTCAAGGCCTTGGATCAGTGGCTTCAGTGTCCAGTGTTAGATTCATAATGAATTGTATGAATGAAGTAGACTCAGGTTGCATTAAAATGTGGAAAAATGAGCTGTTGCCTTACAATATTCTTTGTATTAACTGGTTGACACTATGAGATAAAAGTGGTGGGATTTGTCTGTTGAATGGAGCAAATTCTTGGTGTTTTCTTTGTCTGAACACGTGAGAATGAGTTTGTATGGCCTAACGCTAACTGTTCTGTAGAGGCTGATGTCAAGCCATGATGAGCTAAAGTTTGTCTCACTTACTTATTGAATCACTACAAAGTGAATAAGCCTCAATTTTCCTTATTCATTAGTGTCAAGAATAGTAGGAAAAGTTACTGTTTTGCATTTTCTATTGAAAATCTTATAAAACAAACAAACCAAACTTAAAAAGAAACATGATTTAAACTTATTCATTTACCATATTTGTTTTTGTGGCACTGTTGCAATACTTTGAAAATTGATCATCAAACACAGGCACTTTTTTTTCTCACCCACATTAAAGTCCTGTCTGAATGGGGAGAAAAAATGCGGTCTTGCAACGGCAGTCTTCTCAAAAGGATTCACTTTCATTCTGCAGCATCTTATCGTAACATCAGCCAGATTATTTTAGGAACAAGGAAGAGATGAAAACAATGAGACAGGCTTTTGTTGGTTCGCTATTATTTTGATTATCATATTCCAGACATGTTGTTAGTCACTAATGAGGTCATTTTTCATGCAGGAGCCCAATGTTGGGTATAATGGGATATTATTTCCAGCCCATCTGCTTTGTTTGCAGGCCTATGGGAGAGAGTCAAGTTCCCAAAGACCACTTATAAATTGATCTTTGCTTTAGTTGCACTGTTCAGTCCACAGGTGCTTCAACCAGATGATGGGTCAAAACTTCTTCCAAATTGTAAGTATATTTGATTGTCGCAAAAAATGATTTGTGACAATATTGCTTTATGCTGTTGTTTATTCTTCACTTGAAACATTGATTAGAGGTAATTTTTAGAAGTGCTGTTAGTTTGATAGACAAAATGTGTGATTGGCATTAAAATAAATGATGCGTTAAAATAAAATAAAAATTGAATTAAATAAGATATGTTGAAGATGAATAGTTTAACAATAACAATTTTACACCCAATGATATAAAAGGATCAGGTGGATCCTTAAAAGGATCAATACATTATTATGAATAGCATCACATGTTTTCCGCATTGCTTATGCCTGGATATGCTTTCAAGAGTAACAGCTGCTCAGTTGGGATGCCTCTTTAGTGTTCATTATCTGTTCCCTCCATCCCTTTTTTTCTCAGATGATAAGAATAATTACAGGAGTCCTGGTCTCATTAGCCTTCTCATCTGGGATGACTATCGACCAAAGGGGGTTCCTAGTACCTCCACCCCGTGGCTCTCCTGATAGCCCCATTCCTCCTGATGACTACTTTGATGACTCTGCTGCAATTAACAACCACATACCTATATTTGCCTATGATAATTACCCTATAGCAAAAGGAGGCAATCCCATAGCCAGAGGAGATCAGATTATGCAATATGACGACTCATTAAATGGATATCCTTTACCCATGTTACCAATCCCGCCTGATAGGTATCCCATTCTATCAAAACCTCCGTTTGGGAACACAACTCAAGGATCTCGCACAGTGCCTATGGGACAAAAGCCCGACCTTTCGTACTGTGACATGCTGCTTGAGGCACCAGTGCCTCCACCTGTAGATCAAACACCCTGGTTCTGTGTTTGCTCACATTGTAAAGGGGGTCCCAGTGGTCCAAAGGGGGACAAAGGAGATAGGGGACTGCAAGGTTATTAATTTGAACCAATTCTTAGTCACCCCATTGCATATGTATAATACAGCAGGAATTGAAGAGTAGATTTTCTTTTGTTTCTTTGTCTTAGGTCTTCCCGGTAGTCCAGGATTAAGAGGCTTGCCAGGATTTCAAGGTCGTCCAGGGTTTAATGGTCATAAGGGACCAAAGGGTAAATACAGTCACTTTATTTCTATTCTAAAGACCCATTAAACCTATTGTTACAGATACAGTTTACTTACTATAGAATCACTTATCTGCCTCTAAGAGTGATCTTGGCGATTGAGTACAAAACATACTGGAGTGTTTACATTTGATAAGAGGAGCATTGCCAATCATGCTTCCTTTTTTCTTCCGAAAGGCCAAATAGGTGATATTGGTGAAAAGGGAGATCTGGGTCCATTTGGCTTTACAGGACTCAAAGGACAGAGAAGCCCCAAGGGTAAGTTAGTAAACAGCAATTTGAACAAAATTTTAAGAAATAAGATCACCAACTTGTTAAACATTTTGTCCTAGGTGATAAAGGGGACAGTGGTGTGGATGGAAATCCAGGACAGCAGGGCTCACCTGGTGAGTCAGGACAGTGCCCAACAATTTGTTACTCAATCCAGGGACCTCCAGGAGAACTTGGCCAACCTGGTATGACAGGGGAAAAGGGACTTCCAGGGTTGGGAGGAAGTCCAGGGTCGAAGGGCCAGAAAGGGGATTTGGGGGATGTTGGTCCATATGGAGCTCCAGGTTTAAATGGCCAGAAAGGAGATCAGGGAGAAACGGGTGAGTGTCACTGCAAGGATGGGGTAGACGGTGCAAATGGAATGATCGGAATTCCAGGACTAAAAGGTGGCAAAGGGGACACTGGCCAACAAGGTGCAGCAGGGGTAAATGGAGACAAGGGGAAAAAAGGGGATCCTGGGGTAATGGGTGCTCCTGGCCCTTGCTCTCAACCAATTCAGTCTGCTTTTTTAGCAGCACTAAGCAGCAGTTACCCACAGCCAAATTTGCCAGTTCCTTTTACTAATGTCTTTTACAACAGAGAATTTAATTTTGACCCATTTAGAGGCATCTACAGGGCTCCCATCAATGGTACCTATGTCATTAACTACTACTTGGTTGTCTTCAGTAAACTGCTCAAAGTGGGGCTCTTCCACAACTTCAGACCTGTCCTCAAAAGTATAGGGTCAACAGATCTTGGAACAACTTCTCAACAGGTGGTCCTGCATCTTAACATGGGTGATGAAGTTTGGCTACAGGTGAGAGATGCCGATTCCAACGGGATGTATTCCAATAGTGAGTGCAGCAGTACCTTCTCTGGCTTCCTGCTCTACGCAGACAGCTGTGATATTCCAATGTCACGGGATTTACCAGATCCTATAACCGGAACATACAGCTGGGGTGAATTAGAGGAACCTACTACCACTCTTGCTCCAGATGTCCAGTCTTGATGTAACCTAAGCCCAAACACCTCCCTAGCATATTTGGTCAATTCTAAGTAAATTGAATGTAGTAGGAGTTATAATAATAATAAACATTTAGACAGTCACATGTTTAGTCCAAAAAGGGATAGTTCCCCCTAAAAATAAAAAATTTGTCATCATTTACTCTTACCCTTATGTTGTTCCAAACCTATATGAGCTTCTTTCTTCTGCTGAACACAAAAGAATATATTTTGAAGAATGTCGGTAACCAGACGATTGACAGTTGCCATTGACTTCCAAAGTATTTTTTTTCCTATTCGTTTCCTGGTTACCAACATAAGTTCAACAAGAAGAAAGAGATTCATACAGGTTTGGAACAACATGACGGTGAGTAAATGATGACAAAATATCGATTTTTGAGTGAACTATCTCTTTAAGTAAAGCTTTTGAAAGGTAAGCTTCTTCTACAGATTAAAGTAATGCACATGTTAAATTATATCAAATGGATACTACATTTGTGCAGTATCGCTACATTATACTTTTATTAAAATATGTGGTTGGTAACACTTTATTTTAAGGTGCTTGTAATAAGCAGTAATTAACAGTTAATAAGACACTTATAAGACCTTATAAGACACTTATAAGACCTTATAAGATGCATATAAGATGCATATAAGCATTAACTACTTCATATAAGGGTTAATTAAAGGTCCAGGCCCTGAAGAGATCAGGGAAACTACTCCCTCTTGGGAAGGTAAATTTTTAAGGGCCTGGGAGTTTGTGTTACCATTTATGTTTGTTCGGCTGTTCTAAAAGTGCAATGTATTGATACTTGAGAAATGTATTATTTAATTTAATTTATTTATTATCATTAGTTAATGCTTATATGCATCTTATATGCATCTTATAAGGTCTTATAAGTGTCTTATTAACTGTTAATTACTGCTTATTACAAGCACCTTAAAATAAAGTGTTACCATGTGGGTTATATGGGGGCATTGCCTGCATGTGCTACCTCACGTTTTCAACATATATCATTGTGGAAAAAAATATGTATTTCCTTTTGTACGAGTGTAAACTGTCTCCTCTTGACCTGCTCATGCAATCCTCGTAATGTTGAATTATGTCTGCTGAAAGGACAGCAAAATATAGGCAAATTGTTTTGTAAGCATGTATGAGCAGATGCATCTTTTTAATTAATTTTACTTATGTATAATTAAAATTATATTAAAACTATTAGTTATGATTTTGTTTACATAATGCATGAGTGAGAGAGGATAAAGCCTAATGCTCAATGTACTTTATCTGAAAGATAGAGAGTAACAAACAAATGTTCTAGATGAGATGCTCAACTGCAGTTGTTTGAAGCTAACAGAAGCTTAATGAGGTCTATAGGAGTACGAAGAGCCATTGTAAGCAACAGTAAGCAAGCTAACTGCTGTTGAAATAAGATATTTACAGATTTCTCCTTTATCATTGTGCATAGAGAAAATAAAGATATTTGTGATTTTATTTACAACTATCAGTTGACAATCAACTTTACCTGAGAAATTGTGATATTACATATCGTTATTGAGATTAATATAAAAAAGTATTTATTCAGTAATTTTGGTCTGTATTGACTCTATTGAACTTTATCTATTTTCAATAAATATGGATTAAATACATTTGTCCTTGCACCTTGCCTGTCTGTAAGGTTGAAAATCATATTTGGAAAAAAGATCCAGTTACAGAAATTGAATCTGTATGAATACTGTTATTTTATAAATAAAAACGAACAAGAACTGTTTTTTGTCCAAACCTTTGTGGTGTTTGTACGATAGAATTTACCTTCTTTATCATGATTTCATAAACTGAACATCTAGCTACAGTACAGTATTTTATTAAAATACACTATTTTATAACAATACATTTACTTACACTAAAGAATGTTGCTTTATATCACAAAATGTGTTACAACTAAAAAAAAACACACAGCTAGGACTTTACTATGTAGTTTTATACTATTGTTGTGTAGTCACCAAATTCCAGCAAAGCAGTTTCTTTCAAATCACTAAAGATATACACCAAAATGTCAGGCAGCTGAAGAATGGTCTCTAGAGAACCATGTATTTGGAAATTGTTCAAATTGACAATAGCTTTATCTGCTAATAACAGTCCAGAGCAGTGCTCTATTTCAGTGATGCTCTCTATATGATTGTCTATTGAATAGCCTTAAATATGTAATTATGCTTTAAGAACTGGTTGACTTCTACATGCATTCCTCAATTCTCGGCAGGTGATATGTTTCCCTCATCCTCGTCCTCGGCCGTGCCTTTCAAGTAGGTACGCTTAAACTCCTCAAACACCACTTCATCCTCCAGTTCGCTACAAATAGCCACACAGTCACATAAAAAGGACAAGAAGCAGATACATTACACATATATTATTGACGGTACATAAAAATGAGTAATTATTAATATTTTATTATTCTTGAACATGCAGAGTAAACTGTTTAAATCATGACTGACCTTTCTCTCACTTCAAGAGGCAATAAAGAGAAACAACATTTTTAAAGAGTTGCTTATACTGTATACTGTATAATTGTATGTGAACCACAAAATATTTAAGAGACAGATATAAGAACATACGTAAGGACACTCACACATGTTCGTATATAATAATACCTGTGTCAGGCTTCGGGTGCATAAGCTGGAACGGGAGCTCCACTCCAACCTCACTGATATGTCAAAACACAAAGCTTATATAAAGGGATCTCAATATAGTCCAAAAGTCTGAGACCACTAGCAAAAAAGTTGGTCTCACTTTATATTATATTATATATATTATATACACCTGTATCCCACCTCAGTAGCAGCAATACAATATTAACACAGTAAATATCCATTGTACTTATTTTTTGTACATTGTACAAATGTACATTTTGTACAAAGTACATAGTAGTTAAGGACACCTAATATAAAGTGTGAGATTTAAATAAGATTTTGAATCTCAGATTTTGTCATATGTTCGCTCACTGCGTCCGAAATCGAGTACCAAAAGAGTAGGATGTCCGAATATTCGGAAAAAAAAACACAGTAGGGGAAAAGTCCTGGGTTGAACTACTACTTCCGTTGAGATTCTGAAATGCGCATTCGATGGACACAATACTATCCCATTAGGCTACGGGAGAGGATTTATGAATGGAAGTGAAGGTGAACTGTGGCAACTGTGGTCACGTGAGAGTAACACAATGGTGGATGTAGTATGTTTGAATTCAGTCATACTAAGTTCAAATGAAGTACCTACTTAGACAGTATGCGATTTTGGACGCAGCATCTGTGTTTGTCCATGGACTTTCTACTTCCACTTCTGTCTGCCATCTTTGTAGGCCTTTTTTAGTTTTTTTGTTCATGTTGATTTTCTCCAACAGGTGTGTTTTGTTATCTCATTATCTTGCTAAGCTGTGTGTATATATAGCCCTAGTGTTTCTCTTTTTGTTTTGTCAGTCAAAATTTCAGTTCTCTGCATTCCCTAGTTAACGGTTCGTGTGTTTATTGTTTTGTTTGTTGTGTGTTTTAACAAATACCCCTGCCTGCCATATATCCAGCTCCCTCGTGATACAGATTTTCAATTAGGTCTCAGATTTTTGGACTCCACTACATATGCACACACATTAAAGCTTTATTGATATGCAATTCTCTGACTCCAAGATTGAAGAAATTTTATATTTACCTGGATCCCATAATTCTATATGAAGAAGAAAAACAGAAAAGATTAGGATGTATGTGACACACAACAGGTAAAACACACATCAAGGATGTGTGGTTTTATGGTACTGTAGTAGTTATATTGTGTCTTGGGATACAAACCCTCCAACAATAAGCTTCACAACAATTCTGTATGACACCATGATCCCCAGAACTTCCTTCAGGACTCCCTGTTTGATGCTGCAATAGAGCATTTAAACGTAGTAAACATTTGGAATGCATTAATGAACGTTTTTTTCCCAATAAACTAAAGCAGCTCTTATTATCTTCACATGGGGACTCACATGCTTGAAGAGGCTAGATTTGTGTCTTCATGCTTCAGTTTTCCATCCAGTGCGATGCCATGCTTTTTTCTGTTTTTGGCCATGAGGGGAAGCAAGGTGTAAACTTTGTCCAGTTTGGCGCCTGCATCAACAGAGTCCCTGCACCAAATAGGAATCTTCAATCAGATTAATATTTATTGTTTTATTGGATTACATCTACATATCTGTATAAAATGATTACCCAGAGTCCTCACTGGCCACTGTCTCATTATAACTGTCATTGGAGTACAGCACCACATTGGCGATTTGTTCCACTAAAAGGCAAACAATCACAAGTGTGTTATTTTATATTTACAGCAGTCTACTTGACTTATGACTTACTGTGTACAAATATCGGTAACACTTTACAATAAGGTTCATTAGTTAACATTAGTTAATGTATTTACTAACATGAACTAACAATTAGCAATACATTTGTTACGGTATTTATTTGTTAATCTTTGTTAATGCAAGTTAAGAAAAAATACAGCTGTTCATTGTTTGTTCATGTTAGTTCACAGGGCATTAACTAATGTTAACAAATACAACCTTTGATTTTAATAATGTATTAGTAAATGTTGAAATTAATATTAAGTAAGATTAATAAATGCTGAAGAAGTATTGTTCATTCTTAGTTCTGATCAACTACTGTAGTTAACTAATGTTAACTAATGAACCTTATTATAAAGTGTTACCCAAATATCTACATTTTGTCAATGAATTTGCCAGGGTCAATAAGATAATGCAGATAATCTATTAATTCATATTTAAAGAAAACACACAGATATTTGCAACGCTATTGACATTTTATAAATTTGGGCAAAAAAATCAGGGTGGAACAACTGTGCTGATACCATTAAAATAATAAAACTAACTCTTGAAAAGACAGTGACTGTGACGTCATCGGCTCGTCTTGGCTACTTTCAGTCCGCACCCGCATTAACATTGTGGGGCTCCCGAATGGATTTGGCTGACGAGCAAGAGACGGGTTCGTCTCTTTCGCTTGCTCGCTCACCAGATCCACAAGTTCCCTCGCGTGATCCCGAAGTGCACCCCGTGCTTCTTCGGTTCATAAAGTGAACATCTAACATCCCCTCAAAAGGAAGTGTTAAAGTTCATACCACTATCAGAAAGTCTGGCAGCGTGGAAACTTCTGCCAGGCATTTCTGCTTGGGTATTAAGCACAGTACAAATAGGATAAAGAATCCAATTTATTCATCTTCCTCCGCGTTTCAACGGCGTGGTCTCCACTTCCGTGAGACCGGAGCTGATGCATGTACTGTCACAAGAGCTACAAACTCTTCTGAACAAAGAGGCCATGAAACATGTTCCTCTTCCAGAGAGGGTGTCGGGCTATTACAGCAGATACTTCCTGGTTCCCAAGAAGGACGGTCATAAAGTGTATACATAAAGATATGGTGGAATCCAGCTTGTCCTATAGATGGTCTGCTTACGCTTTAACCTCGCGCACGAGCAGATCCGTTTCATCGGTAGAGAAGCGTTCAGTTTTTCCGCTTGCAAATTCTACCATGTAAATAGCGAATCCGCCATGGCGTGAGCGCAACTGGCTTTTAAAGGTAATGGGAGATGAGTCTCTGATTGGTTTATTGCACGTTACGGCCAAAACACCCCCATTACTCGTTAAGAGAATAGGGACAACGCTTTTAGACCATGCGTTATAACATTTTAATGACAAATTCAATTTGTACCACTGTAGTTGAGGTCAAGAAAAATATTCATGACACTTTATAATGGCCTAATGACAGCCAATGTCAAAACCAACCACATGACAGTTTAATGTAATGTTAAACCATAAAGCTAAGTGGTTTCTTAAGTTTGATAATTAACCTGCTATGTCATGTTTATGACATATTTATGACAATTTATGTTGTCTTGGTAATGTCAAGTTGTCATTACCAAGACACTGACAGGTTATGATGTATTGGTTTATGTCAAGTTGTCATAACAAAGACATCTCAAACAATGTCATGTCTGCATTCAAAATGTCATAATTGAGTGAATGGACAGTTGTCATAAACATGCATAAAATCTCCTTCATATTCATGACATGTGTCATGTCATGATTATGAAGGTGTCATGTCAGTCTTATGCACACCCCTTCAAGTAAAGTGTTACCATAAAAGGGCACGGTTTGTTCAGGTTGTAAAATAAATCAAACAAAAGAGTACATTTCAAAGAATTTGGCTCATTCATTTAAACTGAAATTTAATCTGAAACACTTATTTCTCGATTTGTCAACACTTTCAAACTCGCTCTTACCAGAGATAATGATGTTCCTCACATTTTTGTTGGAGTCATTCCTGATTTTGACAGTTACGTTGATGGGTTCCCCATGATAGTAACTCTACAAGAAAAAAGTCTAAATCATTTAATTTAAGAAAAACTATGGTGCAAACTGATTCATTATATTCCATAAAATGTCATTCTTCGTTTAAAAAGCAGTATAAAACATTGCTAACAACAACGAAAGATACATGCATGCCCGCCTGGTGGTCTGTTTGAAACCCACCTGTTTTTCTAAGTTTGCCTCCATATGCAGTGGTTTGTCAGACATGAGAAAGTCACGGGTGGTCTGCACACAGGGAGCTGGTCCGAGGTTCTCTGGAGCGTACTGGACCTTGCGAATCGTCAAACATACTGTGCTCCTGATGGTGGTGGAGGGGAACAAGTCATATTATTCAATGCTCCACAGACTACATGAGGGAACCTGTTCTGTCTTTTGACACCTAACTTGTGGTAATATTTATATATATATATATATATATATATATATATATATGTATACACTCATCTAAAGGATTATTATGAACACCATACTAATACTGTGTTTGACCCCCTTTCGCCTTCAGAACTGCCTTAATTCTACGTGGCATTGATTCAACAAGGTGCTGAAAGCATTCTTTAGAAATGTTGGCCCATATTGATAGGATAGCATCTTGCAGTTGATGGAGATTTGTGGGATGCACATCCAGGGCACGAAGCTCCCGTTCCACTACATCCCAAAGATGCTCTATTGGGTTGAGATCTGGTGACTGTGGGGGCCATTTTAGTACAGTGAACTCATTGTCATGTTCAAGAAACCAATTTGAAATGATTCGAGCTTTGTGACATGGTCCATTATCCTGCTGGATAGCCATCAGAGGATGGGTACATGGTGGCCATAAAGGGATGGACATGGTCAGAAACAATGCTCAGGTAGGCCGTGGCATTTAAACGATGCCCAATTGGCACTAAGGGGCCTAAAGTGTGCCAAGAAGACATCCCCCACACCATTACACCACCACCACCAGCCTGCACAGTGGTAACAAGGCATGATGGATCCATGTTCTCATTCTGTTTACGCCAAATTCTGACTCTACCATCTGAATGTCTCAAGAGAAATCGAGACTCATCAGACCAGGCAACATTTTTCCAGTCTTCAACTGTCCAATTTTGGTGAGCTCTTGCAAATTGTAGCCTCTTTTTCCTATTTGTAGTGGAGATGAGTGGTACCCGGTGGGGTCTTCTGCTGTTGTAGCCCATCCGCCTCAAGGTTGTGCGTGTTGTGGCTTCACAAATGCTTTGCTGCATACCTCGGTTGTAACGAGTGGTTATTTCAGTCAAAGTTGTTCCTCTATCAGCTTGAATCAGTCGGCCCATTCTCCTCTGACCTTTAGCATCAACAAGGCATTTTCGCCCACAGGACTGCCGCATACTGGATGTTTTTCCCTTTTCACACCATTCTTTGTAAACTCTAGAAATGGTTGTGCGTGAAAATCCCAGTAACTGAGCAGATTGTGAAATACTCAGAGTGGCCCGTCTGGCACCAACAACCATGCCACGCTCAAAATTGCTTAAATCACCTTTCTTTCCCATTCTGACATTCAGTTTGGAGTTCAATGCATTGAAGCAACTGCCATGTGATTGGTTGATTAGATAATTGCATTAATGAGAAATTGAACAAGTGTTCCTAATAATCCTTTAGGTGAGTGTATATATATATAGATATATAAGCAAATCAGGATAATCAAAGTGGTACAATTCAGATCAAGGTATGGGCCTGGACTGGATACAACACTGTTTTTCCACCCGAATAGAGAATAGGAAACAAAGAGTTGTAGGCTTGACTAACCGTTTGCGAACTTTTGCATTCTGGCTCTCAGCACAAAAGGCTTTCACCTCAAACTCAACAGCACAGTACTGTGAAAAAGTATAGATATGACACCACTCAGAGGGCATATATCACATACATACAAAATAAACAACTCTGTCAGAGTAAGACTGACGACATATTTCATATAACATATGTTGCACCATGTCTTAAACAAAAAGTTCTTCCTAGTTTAGCAGAATAGTTTGATGTTTAACAGTAAGATGTTACCTTTCCAGAATCTTTTGGGCTTGGCTGTATTCCGACTGAGCAGGGCAAGTTATCAGGGAACTAAAGAAACAGAAATATTCTTATATCAGGTCCTTCAATATACAAAAACATAAGACGTTGTTTTATATATCAAAATGAAATAGCACAGATGCACACACACACACAACATTGTCACAAATTATTTCATTATTAGGGTATTAGGTGGCGATACTAAATTCCACCAGTAGGTGTGAGCGAGATGTTTAGGCCTGTGTCTGTGGATGTTAGCCCTGCAATGGACTGTCTATGCGTCCTACAGCCAGAGACGGTGGGATAGGCACAACATACAAGCAGTTAAGAGAATGGATGCAGGTCATTATTAAAACTGAATGCAAACAAAAAACTATGACCTGATGGAGTTTGGGTTCCTTGCCAGTGTTGTCCCTTGGTTGCTTGGGGACACTTAAAGGGTAAGTTCACCCAAAAATTAAAATTCTGTCATTAATTACTCACCCTCATGTCGTTCCAAACCTGTAAGACGTTCGTTCATCTTCAGAACACATATTACGATTTTTTAATGAAATCTGTGAGCTTTCTGTCCATTGACAGCTACGCAACTTACACTTTGACACTTTAAAAAGTTCATAAAGAGATCGTAAAACTAATCCATATGAATTGAGTGTTTTACTCCTAATTTTCTGAAGAAACTTGAGCGCTTTATGAACAGATTTCATTTAATCCTTTATTCACTTATAAACATTGATCAGCGAACATAAACAGAAGCTCAACCGAACCTGCTTGACGTCCGATAACAAACCATATTGGTTCTTGCATGCGGAACGTGCTGCGTAACACGAGAATGGTCGTAGTTTTATGATCTCTTTATGAACTTTTTGAAGTGTCAAAGTGTCAGCTGTCAATGGAGGGAGAGAAAGCTCTCAGATTTCATTTAAAAATATCTTTGTGTTCCTAAGATGAATGAAAGTTTTACGGGTTTGGAACGACATGAATGTGATTCATTAATGACAGAATTTTCATTTTTGGGTGAACTAACCCTTTAACATTCAATAATATTGTTGATTTGACTGCATTGACAATTGGATGAGAACTGAACTGAGCTGGACGATGGCATACATTTTTTTCTGCAGAACTGCTTCATAGATGAAACTAACTAATTTAATTGATAATCTTTACAACAGAACTGAATCAACACTGACTGAAATGATACTATTGTCTTTTATAGCTGGCGTTCAGTCGAAATGAAGTCTGTTTGCGTCATTGAATCATTTTCCTGATGTGCATCACTATAAAGCTGCTTCGAAACAATCTGAATTGTATAAAGCTCTATTTAAATAAAGGTTGAATTGACTGTGATGGTACCATGGTCTTTGATGCACCTTGAAAAAACATATAAATACCATGGTACATGAATAAGGTGATGTGATTCAGTACCATAGTATCATTTCTAATTTTGCAAGGAAAAGGTCTAATGTAATCTCTTGAAGATGCTTACTTCAAAGAAAAACGGGTAGGCATTGTCACCCAGTTTGCGCAGTAGTTTATCCTGAACCTTGGTGAGAATGCCCTGCTCTTTGTCCTGCAGTGGGGGGTAGATTTGCCGGGTGGCCAGGTAGATCTCTCGTCTGAATGAGATTCCCAACACGTCCGTATCATCACGGCCGTATCGGAACGCGCAGGACAAGGTGGCGTACGCTAGAGGGCGACACAATCACAAAGCGCTTCTCATTATAATACATCTGATTTATCATCTGTTCAGTTTGTAAACTTTGAATGAACCTAGTGACCTTTTTTCCCTTTCAGCTGTTCAGGGTCAACGAGAAGGACGCCATCTGATGGAGAAGGAAAAGGTCAAAGTAAATGCAAGTTTTAAGAAAACGTGGTAAGTGCTTAAAATCACAGTAAGATGATTCTCTCACGTACCCACTGGATCCACCGAGTCAACACGGTCAACAAAGTCTCTCCTCCCCATATACACACCAACCTGATTCACAAACACAACATATATTACTTAACAAGCCTAAAAGAGGAAAAGTCGGTAACACTTTAGAATACGGTTCCTTCGTTAATGAATAACTACACAGGAACAAATGAGTAACACAATATTAACAATCTAGTAGGCCTAACTTCTATTAACTAACAAGAAATTCTGATTAACAAATTAGTAAGTAATAGCGCACAGATGAAAGTGGTCGTTCACTATTAACTAATCAATAACTACTTTTTTTTAATGCTTCCCAGAGAACTACTGTAAGAATCATGGTAACTAACTAGTAATGACTCAAGTGTTACTGCATACTTCTAAAGGAATGACTAATTATTTGGATCCGTATTCTAAAGTGAAGATCACGGTAACTAACTAGTAATTACTCAAGTGTTACTACATACTTCTAAAGGAATTACTAATTCTTTTAAGCTTTTGAGGTTTTTGGTGAAGTTTTAGATAGTAATTCCCATAGAAGTATGTAGTAACACTTGAGTAATTACTAGTTAGTTACCATGATCTTCACTTTAGAATACGGATCCAAATAATTAGTCATTCCTTTAGAAGTATGTAGTAACACTTGAGTCATTACTAGTTAGTTATCATGATTATTACATGAAAAGCCAATCCTAAAGTGTAGAATCTTCTAATCCTTCACAAGATATTTGCACACACGTATGAGGTAGGAGACATTAATAAAATCTTTTTTTTTTTGCGAGGTATAGGTTAAATAATAAAATCACTGTATATGGATGGCCGATAACTCAATATGTTCCAGCCGTCACCGTGACTCTGGCCAATTTTCTGGCATTCCTCTGGACTGGCATTGAATCACTACAGGACAAGTAAGGTCCCGATAACTGCATTTAAAAAGCCATTTCTTTAAAATTATTCAGTTGATAAATAGTTCTCTAGGAGAGAGCATAGGCTAATTATTTCCCAAATCATAAGTCTGCTATGCTATTACATATTGATAAACCTTGTGTATTTGTTTACAGCAGTTATTAATGTTAATGTAGTGCTAGTCATTTGTCCTGCATTAGTTATTGATTAGTTTTGCATGAACTATTAATCTTCTTCAGTAGTTCTCTGGGAAGCATAAAAAAATAGTAGTTATCAATTAGTTAATAGTGAACTACCACTTTCATCTGTGCGCTGTTACTTACTAATTCGTTAATCAGAATTTCTTGTTAGTTAATAGTAGTTACTAGATTGTTAATATTGTGTTACTCATTTGTTCCTGTGTAGTTATTCATTAACGAAGGAACCGTATTCTAAAGTGTTACCGAAAAGTCTTTTGTGTGTTGTTCTTTTTCCCAGGTCCACTAACCGATCACATCCCCTGCATGTTGAACAGACACTTTCCAATGCTTCTGTAGAGCCACAAATCATATTTTGCTGTGGCCGTTGTCCAGTTAAGACTTTACAATAAGGTCTCATTTGCTAACATTAGTAAATGTAGACCTGATTACTAACATGAACTAACAATGAGCAATACATTTGTTGCAATATTTATTTATCTTTGTTAATGCTAGTTAATAAAAACCCAACTGTCATGAATTGTTCATGTTAGTTCACAGTGCATTAAATCTAGCGCAGCGTTAGTTCAGTCAGGCCACGTAGGCATAGGCTCAAATCGCTCCAACAACTACCATTCTCCTATTAGACCGGGAGGATATATATACGTGGGCATTACTGCACGGCAAACATGCTCAAACTGCTCGTAACCCTCCCGCCCTCCCAGTATAAGTATCAAGCACATCCGTGCACTTTCTGGCTGTTGTCTTCTTTGTTTCAGATTACCAAGGCTTCCAAGTCCTAGCGTCACGGACATCATCGCCAAGAGACACTCATCCTCATAGCTAAGCTACAGTATTGACGTCCGGGATTTCACTGCTACCTCTACGTGTTAAAACTGTTGCTTAAAGACATTACTAAACTGTCTTAAATCTCTATATCACTCAAACTGATGGTACTATGGGGGGTTAATGGTCTTTATGTCATTAATTATGGAGCAGGAACCCCCATAAGGAATAAGATAAATTGTGTTCAATAAACTAAAGTAGGCTAACTTGCCAAAGTGGTCTCGTCTAAACTAATGTTATGCATTAGTAAATGTTGAAATTAACATTAAATAAGATTACTAAATGCTGTAGAAGTATTGTTATTTCTTAGTCCATGTTAACTAAAGTAGTTAACTAATGTTAACAAATGAAACCTTATTGTAAAGTGTTATCATAAATCCTTGTCTGAGAAATGAGAAACACCTCTAAAAATATTTCTGCATGTCCCAGATTTTCCGTCAGCCATTTAGAATCAACTAGACAACCACATACAATCGAACAAGGAACCAGATATACACCCGATCACACCTGCATGTGCAGCCTGAGAATTATTGTACTCCAAGTAAACATTTTCCAATCAAAAGCAACATGACATTGCCATCTATACTGTATATATGGTCAACTCCAACAAGAAGATCCCTGGTTCGAGTCCTGGCTGAGTCAGGAAGCCTTTCTGTGTGGAATTTACATCCTCTCCCTGTGTGGTTTTGGGTTTCCCTTGGGTGATCCAGTTTCTTCCACAATCCATAAACATGCAGGATATATGAAATGGAGATGGCCAGTGAGTGAAAGTGTCCATCCATCCAGGGGATTTTCTTGCCTATGGTCTGAGAAGCTGGGATAGGCTTCCAGAATCCCCTCAACCAAGTTTACTCTATTAATCAAGTAGTATTAAATTATTGTTCATCATTTATTTAGGCATCTTCTTTTAATGACCATTTAAAGAGAAATAATAAAAGCATGTCAGGCTTATTTTGTACCCTATTCATGCAAATATATTCTCTTTACTATGTTAAGGTACTATATCCACCTGTATAGTTATGTCGATTATATTTTTGAAGTTGTCCTTAACTTACCGACTTATCCTTGGATATTTTCTTGAAGACAACCTGTTTTTGACTCATTGTTGTTTAGAGACTTAAACAAAAACAAACAAACAAACAAACAAAACAAAACAACAATAAATGAATGCTTAGATTAATGTCAAGCCATTATGCAATGTAAACCTAAATGCAACAATCATTGCATGTAAGTCACTAACTTCTATTACAGAAAAAGTCCTTCAAGCTATACAGTACAATAATATTCTTCATGTCATCTAGTAAACCTTAATCAAGGCTTTCCAACATCAGAGGGACTTCAGATTATTTTTTACATAACAGTGACATAAAATCAACATTACTCATGTCCCACATAACACCCAACAGAAGGTCCTTTAAATTCTACATGCATTAGGAATTTCATACCTGGCAGTGATGATTCGACTAATTTGTGAGGTCTGAGGCTTGAGGACAGAGAAAGCAGTGACCCGTGGGGAAGAGATGGTATTTGTACTCAGGATGTGTATTGCCCAACTAATCAGGTTAGGCAGGGTTATAGCTAAAATCCCCTTTACACATTCTCCAGCTTTCCAAATAGACAGACGGATATGGATAGATAGCTTGCTGTGCTTTCTGCATGTGCTATACCTGCCTGAGCGGATTGGGTTGGTTCGCTTTAGTCAGCATTGGGGGAGATTACTAGGCACTGACACTCTGTGCACAAGCAGCAGCACTTTATTTGTCAGGGCCAAGTCACATGCCGAGAACTGTGGTCTCTCTCATGGGCTTTGTGTGTAAACAGCTCACTAGTTGTTTATAGGGTGGGTAATTTCAGCTTGTATACAAAATCAGAGTCAAAAATGCAATTAGAAGTCAGTCTATAAAACAAATGCATTTGCACATTGCACATTGCAACATTGAAAGAATCAATGTAATCAATCAAATAATCAATGTAAATAAAAGTTTCAGTAACAGTATATTATACTTACTTACAGTATACTTTATTGGGCAGGAGTGTTTATCATTAAAAGAAATAAAACCCTGAAACACTTTATTCGATGGTCCACTTTACACATTCTAGTAACTATAAGTAACTTTGCAACTACACACCAACTAGCAGTCATTAGAGTATTAGTAGACCCTCTGCCTATTATCGGCAAACACTTTATTTTGATGCTCCCCCAACAGACATTACTGACTATAAGTAATTTTGCCAACTACATGTCAACTTATTACCCGAACCCTAACACTACCAGTCTACTAGTAATACTCTGTTGAGAGTTAGTAGACGTATAGTGGATCATCGAAATAAAGTGTAACCTAAAACTCATGATATATATGGATATACTCATGGATATATAATACATCCATAGAGATTTAATCAAAGGAGGCGATGCTCAGAGGTATTAATCATTGACAGTGCCTCAGTTATAATCCCAGACTGTCAGTGTCAGCAGTGTAAACACCTAGGAAGCTGAGGAGGGATTACCACCATGAAAGAGATGTAGTCATTGTTATTCTGGCCAAAGCCTTGAAAGGGCAAAGGCCTTATTGTTTTCCTTAGGATTATTCACTCTTCTTCTTATTAGGGCCCAAGCCCCAAAGGGGCGGAGGCACTATAGTTTTTCTGAGTATTATTATTATTATTTTTTAAATCCAGACTTCTCTGGCACTTTTGGGGCCCTTATTATGCTTAAAAAACTCATGAAAATTGGCACACATGTTGGAATCGCCTGCCATTAGGACCGCACAGAAGCTGGTACTTGGGCGTGGCCGGGGGGCTCCACAGCGCCTTCTTGAATGCGGTCCAAAAACTTGGTTCACATATCATACACACTTGCACGTACATGTATGAAACTCAGTACACATATAGACCTCATCAAGCCAAACAACTTCCGCTCTCATAGTCATAAGCTCCGCCCAACAGGAAGTAGGCTATTCTGGGTTGTTTGAAAAGCGCATGCTCTGGAATGAGTTCCAAGGGAATTAATCCGATCACAACCAAACTCAGTCAACCTGAAGCCAAGACATTGTGGATGCTAAACGGCAAATGGCTTTTTGATATCTCAAACGGTTTGGCAGTGGTGAGGAAACACATTTTTGGTGAAAAAAGGGAAACAGGAAGTGTCTTATAACTTCTGGACACTTTTAGTGATTTTGATAAAACTTCAGCTGTGTGTTCGTTGCAGGAGACCGATCACATGGATGTGACTATTGTGAGTCAAAGTCATAGCGCCACCAACTGGCAGCAGGAAGTGTGTCACTTTAAAAATGCTTTGAAATTATCCTTTTATTTTTACCTGATTTGCTTCAAACCTCACCAGTATAATGTCAAGACACTACAGATGTAGACCTGCAAAAAGATTATTGATATATTAAATACTGTTGCCATGGCAATGCATCAAACTTTAATATTAATTTGGGTGTTTTTGAGACTCTTAGTCTCCCTAAAGCCTCAGGGGTGGCGCCGGGTCTTGGACCCGTCATCGCTGCTCGCAGCTATATCTTCATTGGGATTACTTCAAGCCATAGCCTTTGTGCACATATGTTCATGAAACCAAGCACAGATTGAAACAAATAATCTGAGTATGCACATATATGAAGCATAAATACGTTTAAATGTTAACCATAGCATGCAGTGATTACTTTCATTTTTAAAGATTTGGTAACACTTTAGAATACTGTTCCATCATTAATAAATAACAACACAGGAACAAATGATTAATGCATTATTAACAGTCAAGTAAGGACACAGGTTCGATTTTTCCCTTACACAGTGACTCTGAGACGTGGATATGACAAAGTACAAAAATATTCTTTATTGGACAAAGATAAAATGCTGGCGTGCCGGTCAGTTAGGCTCAATTATAACCACAACACAATAAACAACTCACAGGACTCGTGATTACCAGAAGCAGGACGAGCTAGTGCCAGACGTCGCTAACATCAGCGATGGTAAAGGAGCACCCACACGTGCACTACACTTCACACACACACTCACGTCAACCAAGATCAATCACTATGGGTTGTAGACCACACACTGTGTCTCATCAGGACCCGCCACCAAAATAGAGCAACTGGCCCTCCTGCTCCGGACTCACAGTGCCTGAAACACAAGAAATACGAAATTACAACAACAAAAACAATTGTACCCACATGTGGGTACCCAATTTACAGGACACAATATACAAAAAGACATAAAACGTGCATAACTAAAAGAAAAACACCCCGAAATCCACTCAAACCTGCACTCATTGGTTTCAGGGATTGTGAATAGATCACTGCGGACCAACCTGACCAGGCTTCACAGGCCGGTTATGTCACATTCATAACGAGGCAGACAAGGGATGAAGGTGAGAAACAGACTTTATTAACAGTGCAGAGTGAGCAGTGATGTAGATCGATGACAGGAAGGCGAGGGTCGGTGAACACTTAGCTGAACTTGGTTAATGTCTATAGATGACTGAGGAAGACGATGCTGAAGACCATGAGACTCAGGACACGGACGAAGAACAGGAACTGAGGAACAACAGGACTTCAAGATACTGGTCAGACTGGTAGGTAGTTGGGTCTGGTAGAGACGAGATCAGACACAGAAGTGAAGGGAGCTGTGGTTGATAAAGGGCGTGTAATCATGATGTGCAGGTGCAGATAATTAGAATTCAGGTGACTGTGATCGGGTGGGCGGATTGTAGTGATCAGGTGCAGTGGGTGGAAGTGATGTCTCTGTTGACTCCGTGACAGTACCCCCTCCTCCACGGTCGGCTCCTGACGACCGGAGACTGCGACGACGACCACGACCTCTGGGTGCAGGACGATGCGGATGATCTTGGTGGAATTGGGTCAAAAGGGAGGGGTCGAGTATGTCATCTCGGGCTACCCAGGAACGTTCCTCTGGACCGTACCCCTCCCAATCTACCAGATACTCAAGTCGATTGCCCCGTCGCCGTGAGTTGATGATGGTTTGTACAGTGTAGATGAGTTCTTCCTCGGCGACTTCGGGAGGAGGAGGTACGTCAGCTTCACCGGGTTCTGTGAGGAGAGGAGACAAGGGTTCAGAATAAGGCTTTAGGAGTGAAACGTGAAAGGATGGTGAGATACGGTACTGTGCAGGGAGGTTGAGCCGGTAGGTGACATTGTTGAGCTGCCTCTGGATGGTGAAAGGACCTATGTAGCGGGGACTCAGCTTACGGCAGGGCAGGCGAAGACGGATGTCACGGGTGGATAACCATACTTTCTGACCAGGTTGATACTGTGGCGTTTCGGATCTTCGGACGTTGGCCTGAGCGGTGTGTCTTTGCACTGCCTGCTGTAGATGGATATGAGCTGAGTCCCATACCCTCTCGCTCTGCTCTAACCAGTGGTTAACAGCTGGAACCTCCGATGGTTCGCCGGACCAAGGAAACAGGGGTGGTTGGTATCCCAAGATGCATTGGAATGGAGTTCTGGGCGTACTCCGCCCAGGGAAGGAACCGGTTCCAGCTGTTCTGGTTCTGGTGGCAGTGTGACCTCAAGTACCTCCGGATCTCTTGGATCTTACGCTCAGTCTGGCCGTTGGTCTGAGGATGGTAACCGGAGGATAAACTGATGGAGACTCCTTCGTCTAGCGACCATAGAATGGGACTGACGATCATAGCTGGAGGGAGGATGGTCTCAGGAGTTGAGGATTCCAGATCAGATTGGTGAAGACGGGAGAGAGCATCGGCTTTGAAATTCTTATGTCCAGGTCGGTAGGTAACAGTGAAGTCGAATCTGGTAAAAAAGAGGGACCATCTTGCTTGACGGCGATTGAGACGACGAGCTTCTCGGAGATACTGGAGGTTTCTATGGTCTGTGATAACTTCAAACTTGTGGTTAGCTCCCTCCAGCCAATGTCTCCATTCCTCTAAAGCTAGCTTGATGGCGAGGAGTTCCCTGTTGCCGATGTCATAGTTCTGCTCTGCCGGGGACAGCTTTTTGGAGTAGAAGGCACATGGATGGAGTCGAGGAGGGTTCCCCTGCCGCTGGGACAAAATCACTCCCACCCCGGTGGACGAGGCATCCACTTCCACAGTGAATGGAAGGTCAGGATTGGGATGGATGAGAATGGGAGCGGTAGCGAAGGCTTTCTTAATGGCGAGAAATGCGGTGGTGGCTGCTGGGTTCCAGGACAGAGACTTGGGCCGGGTTTTGAGGAGTGAAGTCAAGGGGGAGCTGAGCAGACTGTAGTTATTTATGAATCTACGGTAGAAGTTTGCGAATCCAAGGAATCTCTGTAGTTCTTTTACGGTGATGGGTTGAGGCCAGCTCCGGATGGCTTCCACCTTCCTCTGGTCCATCTGGATGCCTCGTTGGTTTATGATGTAACCCAGGAATTGGACTGTGGATGTGTGGAACTCACATTTTTCTAACTTCAGGTAGAGATGTTGTTCCCGGAGGCGCTGTAGGACTTGTTCCACGTGTCGATGGTGGTCATCTAGATTCTGGGAGAATATCAGGATATCGTCGATATAGACAATGACAAAGCGATGAAGGAAGTCCCGGAATATCTCGTTCATGTAACTCTGGAAGACAGAAGGAGCATTGGACAATCCATATGGCATAACCTGATATTCATAGTGCCCTGAAGGTGTTACAAACGCCGTCTTCCACTCATCGCCCTTGCGGATACGAATGAGGTTGTAGGCACTTCGAAGATCTAGTTTGGAGAAGACACAGGCACCTCGAAGTTGTTCCAAGGCAGAAGGGACCAGAGGAAGGGGATAACTGTACTTGATGGTTTGTGAATTGAGGGTCCGGTAATCAATACATGGCCGCAAGCCTCCGTGCTTCTTAGCCACAAAAAAGAAACTTGAAGCGGCAGGGGATGTTGACGGACGGATGAACTCCTGATGGAGGGCCTCCTTGATGTACTCCTCCATGGCCTTCTGTTCCGGGATGGACAGTGGATATACTCGACCCTTAGGAAGAGTAGCCCCAGGTAGCAGGTCGATGGCGCAGTCCCATGGCCGATGTGGTGGTAGTTGCGTTGCCAACCGCTTGCTGAACACATCCTGGAACGCCCGATACTCAGGAGGAATCTCCATCTTCACATTGGACTCTGGACTCTCAATGGTGGTTGAATACAAGGAGATGAATGATGACTCAGGATTGGATGGAGAGAGGGGACAAGGAGCTTTGATCACCGAAGTCAAACACCCATGATGACATTTCTGCCCCCACTGGAGAATCTCACCCGTAGTCCAGTCAATCTGTGGTTGGTGCTGGAGTAACCATGGGCGTCCCAGGATGATGTCCGCGGTGGATCCTTCCAACACCAGAAAAGTGATCTTCTCTGAATGCAGGCAGCCTATGCGGAGTGTCATGGTGGGGGAGAAGTGACAGATTCGACCATGACCCAGCGGCTTACCTAGGATGGTGTGGATTTCTAGGTTTTGGGGGCAGCGTATCCTCTTGGCATTGAGTCTTTGTAGTAGTTTGTGGGAGATGAAGTTGCTCGCTGAGCCGGAATCAATGAGGGCTTGGGCTGGAACAGTAGAACGAGAAGTTACCAGACATACATTAGTACGGGTCAGAGATGCAATATTGGGGAAAAGTTGGATGGTACTCACCGCTGGGCGTGGTGGTCGAACGGGACAGTTGGAAATGATATGTCCTTCTCCCCCACAGTACAAATAGAGGTGATGAGTCCATCTTCTTTGACGCTCCGCCGGTGTTAGATGAAAAGAGTCTACCTGCATTGGATCTGGTGTTGGAAGAGCGGCAGATGGAAACAGAGGCGGAGGATGCACAGCGGGAGTTTCATTAGAGAGCAAGCAGAAAATCGTTGAGAGACACAGATAGATTTCTGTACGAAGTTCTCTAACCCCATGTTGTCATCCTGAATGATCATAAGTTGACGAATCTCTGGATCTAGACCTTGACGATAGGCTGTGAGTAGAGCTGATTCATTCCATCCACTCGCTATTGCAAGTGTACGAAACTGTAAGGAGTATACACTCACTGATCGATTACCTTGTTTTAGGTGAAACAGTTGATCATGGACAGATAGCGTTGAAGTGGTTTGACCAAAAACTTCCTTGAAGTGAATGAGAAATGCTGACAGCGATCTTGTAACAGGAACATCGGCTTGCCATAGTGAATCAGCCCACTGAAGAGCGCGTCCAGAAAGGAGAGATATCACAAACGCGATGCGTGCTCGATCGCTTGGGTAGAGTTGTGGTTGCATCTCAAAATGAAGCTTACACTGCAGAATAAAGCCGCTGCAATCCTCCGCCTCGCCGCTGTACGTCGCTGGTCGGGCCATGGGACTGGCCGAGGCAGCCGGTGAAGGAGCTGTGAGTGAAGGAGGAAGTGCGTGCCGAACCGCGTTCACTAATTCAGTGAAGGAATCCGGGTTGCTCGTGCTCTGCATGGTGCTGGTCTGATCTTCTGTCACATTCATAACAAGGCAGACAAGGGATGAAGGTGAGAAACAGACTTTATTAACAGTGCAGAGTGAGCAGTGATGTAGATCGATGACAGGAAGGCGAGGGTCGGTGAACACTTAGCTGAACTTGGTTAATGTCTATAGATGACTGAGGAAGACGATGCTGAAGACCATGAGACTCAGGACACGGACGAAGAACAGGAACTGAGGAACAACAGGACTTCAAGATACTGGTCAGACTGGTAGGTAGTTGGGTCTGGTAGAGACGAGATCAGACACAGAAGTGAAGGGAGCTGTGGTTGATAAAGGGCGTGTAATCATGATGTGCAGGTGCAGATAATTAGAATTCAGGTGACTGTGATCGGGTGGGCGGATTGTAGTGATCAGGTGCAGTGGGTGGAAGTGATGGCTCTGTTGACTCCGTGACAGGTTACCACTCACAATCCCCCTTTCCTTAGAACCAGCAGAGGATGACTCGCAGTGAACAAAAGGAAAGAAACATTATTCCTAATACAAAAAAAAGACAGCACCCAAAAATAACAAAGAAATCAAAACACACAAAATGCAGAAAAATAATAAATTAACAAATCACAAAATAATAAAGCAAACAAAACCTAAAAGGAAAATTACACAAAAAAAACACAAATATCCTAAGCCAGGCAGCACAGTCTTCAAGTGCCCTTAAAACGGCAGATCAATTCACCTGCAAAAGCCCGAATATGAGCTAAAATATACGTAGCATTAATTCACTGTTGTACAAATGATCACACATACCTGTCAGGAGCCAATCAGATCCCTCACATGTCACCACGCAAAGATCACTGTCCCCAGATTACTGATCACCTGCACCTGTTTCCACTCAGCACTCACTTCCCAGCCAGCACAAAAGCACCCGATTCACTCCCAGTCATTGTCAAGCCTCCAACAGGAACGACCCTTACCAGTCACCACTTGTCTCACTCTGAGCCATCCTTCAGCAACGGACGTAAAGTATACTTACCTGAAAGAAACTAACCTTGTTGTCCTTGTTCTGATGTTCCCAGGATCCGCTCCATGACTCATGTTCTCCGTTTCCTGGAATCCGCCACGAGTCCCGTTTCCCACTGGATGAGCTGCAAGAGAAAGTGAAAGTATCACTGAACTGGTGAGCTCATTGTCAAGTGCACTTCAAAGGATCTACTCACCTGGAATCCTTCCTGAATCACGCCTATCCACGAACGATCTGAAAAGAGAGAAAAACTCAAGTTATTGATCTGTGTTATCCGCCACGTTATTCCTTAAGAAGAGGATTCACTCACCTGGATGCATTCCTGCCACATATATCCTCTTCGAGATCACCGTTGAACTCCCGAAACCCTGCATACTTACCTTTGAGTTAAATAAAGATACATTTATGTTTATCACTTACCTCTGTCTCCGAGCCTGAATCCTGACAGAGGGCTTGACCTAACAACAGAAAGAGGTGAGAGATGGATTCCGGACAGCCCGCTGTTGCTACCAGCTCCACACCTACCACCGATCCTCCGACAGAACCCATGTTTACTCCAGTGAGAACTTCCGCGAGCGCCGCTTCTTCGATTACCTGCTTTGCAACTCCCCCGTCGCGCCCAGCGCCCTTCTCTGGCCGGGCGGAGGACTGCAACGGATTTTTACTCCAGTGTTCGCTAGCTCTGGAACAGCAAGTTCAGCTCTATCCCAATGAGAGATCGAAAGTGGCATTTATCATTCAGCAACTCTCTGGAGCAGCTCTGAGGTGGGCAGAGGCGTTATGGATGCAGGAATCCACAGTGGTTGCGTAAGTTCAAGAGTTTGTCAAACATTTTAAGGAAGTTTTCGGACGACCCGCGGATGATTCCTCATTTGGAGAACAGCTCCTACAATTACGTCAAGGAAAGAAGTCATTGACTGAGTATTCTGTGGAATTTCGCACACTTGCATCAAATAGTGGATGGAATGAGAGAGCTCTGATTTCTGTTTTCCGTCGAGGTTTAAACCCAGCTTTGCGCCTCCAACTGGCGATCTATGATGACAGCTTAGGAATTGAGAAATTCATTCAGCAAGCCAAGCGAGTCCATCAACGATCTTTGAGTTGTTACGCTGATCAGTCTCATCACCATCCTGTGTCTTTTCAGAATCCCAAGAATCTCAATCCAGAAAATCAAGTTGAAGAGATGCAAGTCGACACTTCAAAAATTTCTCAGGCTGAACGTGTTCGTCGAAGAGAGATGAAGTTATGTATGTACTGTGGTACCAAGGGTCACTTCAGACTTAACTGCCCAATTCGACCGGGGAAAATGATGCCATCATCGACTCAGGGTCCGCGGGAAACTTCATTTCTCGAGAACTCTGTAAGAGGCTCAGTCTGCGAGAGATCAACACTCCCAAGTCTCACGCCATCTACGCTGTAACGGCCAAACAGATCTCATCCTTGGTCGGCCATGGCTCGTCCATCACCAACCCACCGTTGATTGGACGTCTGGGAAAATCCTGCAATGGGGATGTCAATGTCCAGAGATCAACGATCCAGTATCCCGTTCATCCAGTAACCCAAGGACCCAAGTGCTCAAAGTTAAAAGTAAACTCCACGTCCATAGAGAGTCCCACAGAAAACTTGTCAACTAATATCCCAGCCTGTTATTCTAAGTTCTCTGACGTCTTCAATCCTGTCACTGCTTCCAAGTTACCCCCTCATCGACCATGGGATTGTGCTATAGACCTGATCCCTGATGCACGTCTCCCCAAGGGTCGGATTTACTCCTTGTCCATTCCAGAGCAAGAATCCATGAAGAAATATATCCACGAAGCTTTAGATCAGGGTTACATCCGACCTTCCACATCTCCTGCCGCCGCAAGTTTCTTCTTCGTGGCCAAGAAAGACGGTGGTTTAAGACCATGCATTGATTACAGAGCCTTGAATCAAGTCACTGTGAAGTTTAGCTACCCTTTGCCTCTCATACCCGCTGCTCTCGAACAACTCAGAGAGGCAAAGATGTTCACCAAGCTTGACTTACGGAGTGCGTACAATCTAATCCGTATCAAAAGAGGAGATGAGTGGAAGACTGCTTTCATAACCCCTGCTGGCCACTACGAATATCTTGTCATGCCATATGGTTTGGTCAACGCTCCTTCCGTTTTCCAAAGTTTCATGGATGAGATCCTCAGAGACTTTCTAGGGAAGTTTGTTCTGGTCTATATCGATGACATCTTGATCTATTCCAAGAATCCAATCGAACACCAGAGACATGTGTCTCTAGTCCTACAACGTCTCAGAGAATTCACTCTGTTCCTGAAAGCTGAGAAGTGTACCTTTCATCAAAGCACCATCGACTTCCTGGGATACATACTCAGCGATCGAGGAGTGGAGATGGACCAACAAAAGACCGAGACCGTCCTGTCCTGGCCAACTCCCAAGTCCGTGAAGGAGCTTCAGAGATTCCTCGGGTTCGCCAACTTCTATAGGAGATTTATCAACCAGTACAGTCTTCTCACTTCTCCATTGACCTCCTTGCTAAAAGGAAAACCTAAGATCCTGCAGTGGAACCCCGAGGCTGAGAAAGCTTTTCATGCTCTGAAATCTGCCTTCACCAGTGCCCCTTTGCTTCACCATCCAGACCCTGAAAAACCATTCATGGTGGAAGTCGATGCCTCCACCACCGGGGTTGGAGGAATCCTGTCCCAATGTTCCGAGTTCTCCTCAAAGCCACTCCCTTGTGCATTCTTCTCCAAAAAGTTTTCTCCAGCAGAGGCAAACTACGATATTGGAAATCGAGAACTTCTCGCAGTAAAACTTGCCTTGGAAGAATGGCGACATTGGCTAGAGGGAGCCAAACACCCATTTCTAGTCCTAACCGATCATAAGAATCTCCAATACCTGAGAGATGCCAAGCGGTTAAATCCTCGTCAGGCCCGATGGGCGTTATTCTTTACACGCTTTCATTTCAAGATTGCCTATCGTCCAGGATCCAAGAATACCCGTGCAGACGCTCTTTCCCGTATCCATGCCCCTGAGAGCCCTGTTGATCAACCTGAGACCATTCTATCCGAGAGGTTATTCGTAAATCCTATCCAGTGGGAAATAAACGAACAGCTTCAAGAATTGGCTCATCAGCACATCCGACAAGCTGTGAATAGACAACAGCAGTTCGCTGACACCCGCCGAAGATCCACGCCAGAATACCAACCTGAGCAACTAGTCTGGCTTTCCACTCGAGATATCAAACTGCGCCAGTCATGTAAGAAATTAAATCCCAAGTACATCGGACCCTTTCCAATTGTCAAGCAAGTCAACCCAGTCACTTACCAGCTCCGGTTGCCCCCAGAATACCGTATCCATCCCACGTTTCACGTCTCACTTCTGAAACCCCATCATCCACAGATTCCCCAGTCAGTCAACGAGGTCGAACCCGAAGAAAACCCCCCGATACCACCCGTTGAACCCGAGCCCATCTACCTCATCAAGGAGATCTTGGACTCTCGACGTCGGGGAGGTCAGTTAGAATACCTCATTGATTGGGAGGGATATGGGCCAGAAGAGAGAAGTTGGGTACCTCGTAATGATGTTCTTGATCCCAGTCTGCTCCTAGAATTCCATGCTCAGCATCCCGAGAAACCTGCACCACGACCCAGAGGCAGACCCCCACGACGTCGAGGTCCAAGGTCCGCTGGCGCGGACTCTGGAGGGGGGGGTACTGTCAGGAGCCAATCAGATCCCTCACGTCACCACGCAAAGATCACTGTCCCCAGATTACTGATCACCTGCACCTGTTTCCACTCAGCACTCACTTCCCAGCCAGCACAAAAGCACCCGATTCACTCCCAGTCATTGTCAAGCCTCCAACAGGAACGACCCTTACCAGTCACCACTTGTCTCACTCTGAGCCATCCTTCAGCAACGGACGTAAAGTATACTTACCTGAAATAAACTAACCTTGTTGTCCATGACTCATGTTCTCCGTTTCCTGGAATCCGCCACGAGTCCCGTTTCCCACTGGATGAGCTGCAAGAGAAAGTGAAAGTATCACTGAACTGGTGAGCTCATTGTCAAGTGCACTTCAAAGGATCTACTCACCTGGAATCCTTCCTGAATCACGCCTATCCACGAACGATCTGAAAAGAGAGAAAAACTCAAGTTATTGATCTGTGTTACCCGCCACGTTATTCCTTAAGAAGAGGATTCACTCACCTGGATGCATTCCTGCCACATATATCCTCTTCGAGATCACCGTTGAACTCCCGAAACCCTGCATACTTACCTTTGAGTTAAATAAAGATACATTTATGTTTATCACTTACCTCTGTCTCCGAGCCTGAATCCTGACAATACCAAACATGCGGAGATCTCGCTACTCGTTCAAAGATGAGCTGGAATACACAGATAAACCCCATAATAATAACTCTCACATAAAGGGTCACGTGTCCACACTAAAGTGCGCATTCCCACATATCAAAACTGTCAAAGCAGTGCCAAATGCTTCCCCAGCTCAGGCTGGACGCCCCATAAATGTAGATTGTGTGCCCACTGTCATGTATGCACCACTACACATAAGCACTGTTCCCACAGTTATAAACACTTCCCCGCGGGAAATTCTATAAGAGTAGCGCGTGTGCCCGCTGTTATGCACGCACCCCAACTCACAAACACTGTTTATATGGACAAAAACCTCCCGGGAAGTTTTATGAAAGTGGCGCCTACCACAGTCTATGCACCCCCACCCATAAGCACTGTCCATACAGTCTTAAACATTTCCCCAACTCACACTGTGAGCATTACGGATGTGGCGAGCGTGCCTGTAATCTCACACGCACCCCTGCACTCGGCATTCAACAAAGCTGCTCAGAGCGCGCCCTGCGCCTCTGAGAGCTGTGAGCGCAGTATTAGCACAGGGCGATTTGCCGGCGGGAGCCAGACGTCACTGCGACACGCCCCCGGCCAGCATTCAGCCCATATCTGTGCGAGCGAAAGCTTGGGAAAATATCCCCGGCATGCCGAAATGGGTTTTTTGAACATAATAAAACACGGTTACTCGCTTCAATTCGCTCGCAGACCGCCCCACTTCACAGCGGTGGTCGAGACGAAAGTGAGAAAAGATGTTTCACATGTTCTACGCACCGAGGTGCTCAAACTGATAGAGAAGGGCGCTATAGAAACAGTCCCTCCCTCTATGAGCAAGGCAGGTTTTTACAGTAGCTATTTTCTCGTCCCGAAGAAGGATGGTGGTCTCCGCCCCATTCTAGATCTCAGACATCTGAACAAAGCTTTAATGATTCGCTCGTTCAGAATGTTAACAACCAAGCATATCCTCGCGCAAGTTCGCCCGGGGGATTGGTTTCTATCAGTGGATCTGAATGACGCTTACTTTCACATTCCGATAGCGCCTCATCACAGGCCATTTCTGAGATTCGCTTTCGAGGGACAGTCATACCAGTTCTACCAGAAAGACTCGGGAGAATAAATACTGTAACAATAAATACATTTATTGATAGCCCAGCAAGCAATAAAGTTCTTTGGCGTAGGCCCCGTCCATAGCTCGCAATCCGAGGGTCCGGACTCTGCATTTCCTGCCTGAAGACGAAGGCAGGGGCGCAGCCGACCCCCTGTGAGGTATAGGAAGGGACCATCCTGGTGGTGGTGGGGAGGATGGAGGGGAAGGGACCATCCTGGTGGTGGTGGGGAGGATGGAGGTGAATGAAAGCGTCAGCATCTGCGAACTCAGACATGTGTAAGTACTGGTCTTTTATACCGCAAGTATTAGACACGATTGGATAGATGAGAAGGTAATAAGTGACGTAGCAATTGAGTCTTCCCGGCAGAACTTAACGCTAAAGCTTCCATTACACAGTACTACCATTCGGCCTGTCACTGGCACCCCGTACATTCACGAAATGTATGGATGCAGCACTTTCCCCCCTGAGACAGCGGGGAGTGCGAATACTGAATTATCTCGACGATTGGCTAGTCCTAGCACAATCAGAGAGCCAGTTAGTGACACACAGGTCTTGGATTATCAGTCATCTAGAATGCCTGGGTCTAAGAATCAATTTTGCAAAGAGCATGCTATCCCCCAGCCAGAATATTTCTTTTCTGGGAATAGTGCTAGACTCAGTGCAGATGATGGCGCACCTCTCATCAGAGCGCGCGCTCACTATCCGGCGCCTTGCAACATCGTTCAGAGCGGGCGCGCGCGCCCCCGTCAAGCGATTTCAAAGGATGCTCGGTCTCATGGCCTCGGCATCAGCTGTACTCCAGCTAGGATTGTTGCACATTCGTCCTCTCCAACACTGGCTCAAAAGCCGTGTCCCCACTCACGCGTGGCGCTCGGGCCACTTTTTAATCAGAGCGAATCACGGCTGCATAAAAGCCCTGACGCCCTGGAAAGCTGTCGACTGGTGTCAGTCCGGTGTGAGTTTGGGCGTGAACCCAAGGAGAAAAATGATCACGACAGATGCCTCCATAATAGGTTGTGGGGGCCCTTTACGAGGGCAGGCCTGTCTCCGGCTTGTGGTCAAACCCGGAGAAGCGCCTACATATAAACTGTCTGGAATTGAAAGCGGTCGCTTTGGCTCTCAGAGCCCTGCTTCCGTACCTGAAGGACGAGCACGTCCTGGTCCGAACGGACAACATGACGGTAGTCTCGTATATAAATCGTCAGGGTGGACTCAGGTCGAGCTCCCTGCACTCGATGGCCAGGGAACTCATCCTATGGTCCCAGCGCAACCTGCGCTCGCTGAGAGCAGCGCATGTGCCAGGTGTTCTGAACCAGGGAGCGGACATGCTGTCCAGAGACAAAGTTCTCCCAGGAGAATGGTCTCTCCACCCCCTGACGATTCAGTGGTTATGGCAAACCTTTGGCAGAGCAGAGGTCGACCTCTTTGCCTCCAAGGAAAATGCGCACTGCCCTCTCTTCTTTTCAAAGAGCACAGACGCGCTCGCCCAAATCTGGCCGAGCCGCCCGCTGTATGCCTTCCCTCCGGTCGCGATGCTACCTCAGGTCATCAGTCGGATCAGGGAGGAGAAATGTGCAGTGCTCCTGGTAGCCCCACTCTGGAAGAACCAGGCGTGGTTTCCAGAACTGATGCAGATGATGCAATCTGCCCCATGGCCGATTCCGCTGAGGCTAGACCTCCTCAGGCAGGCCAACGGGATGATCCTCCATCCCCGCCCTGATCTGTGGGCCCTCCATGCATGGCCCCTCAACGGGTTCCCGGGAACCTCCCCAGTGGAGTGTTGAGAACCATCACTGAGGCGCGAGCGCCCTCTACGAGGCGCTTATATGCCCAGAAATGGAAGGTGTTCAGTGACTGGTGTAAATCCAGGAACCTGAACCCTGAGACATGCGAGGTACCGAGTGTGCTCGTTTTCTTACAAGAGCTGTTGGAGGCAGGCCACACCCCCTCCACGCTCAAAGTACATGTGGCTGCCATAGCGGCATCACTCGACCCTGTAGAAGGACGCACACTAGAGAAAAACTACCTAGTTGTTCGTTTCCTGAGGGGCGCCAGGAGGATAAATGCCCCACGCCCCCCCCTCAGTGCCGATCTGGGACCTGGCCACGGTCCTGGACGCACTCAAAAGTGCCCCGTTCGAACCCCTCCGAACTGTGCACCTTAAACAGCTCTCGCTCAAAACTGCTCTCTTGCTGGCTCTCGCCTCGGTCAAGAGAGTGGGCGACCTGCACGCGCTGTCATCAAGCGCTGCCTGCCTGGAGTTTGGACCTAACGACAGCAGAGTTGTCCTCAGGCCAAAACACGGGTATATTCCTAAGGTGCTCTCTACACCCTTCAGAGCACAGGTGATATATCTAGCCGCGCTATCGTCTCCAGCAGACGAAAGCGACGCTAATTTACTCTGCCCGGTCAGGGCGCTCAGAGTATATTTGGAACGTTCTGCCCTGTTCAGACAGACAGAGCAATTGTTCGTATGCTTTGGCGGCCGCACCAAAGGTCTCGCTGTTTCAAAGCAGAGAATATCCCGCTGGATAGTTGATGCTATAGCGCTGGCTTATGAAGCCAAGGGCCTTCAGTGCCCCTTCGGCATCAGAGCTCACTCTACGAGGGGCATGGCCTCCTCGTGGTCGAGTGGGATACCCATTCAAGATATTTGTGCGGCAGCAGGCTGGGCCTCACCGTCAACATTTATCAGGTTTTATAACCTACAGGTCCCCTCATTGCACTCCAACATACTGTCGGTCTAACTATGCATAGGCTGGAGTGTGTACATGCTGAGCATTATCTCCTCCCTTATAGGGTCCGTCTCTGACTGACTTAGAGGGGTTTTCATGCATATCAGTACATAAAAATGTGCTTGTATGTTTTCTCTGGACGCCCATTGGGCCGTTCCACATTGTCCCTTATAAAGCCCGCCTTCGGCCGGCTCGTTGGATAATTACTTTGCTTAAAGGCTCAGGCATCTGCCTCCGGCTTAATAGAGCGAAGTCAGCACGCACGGCGTTTTACATGGTGTTCCCATAGCGTAAGCTACTTACGCAATAGGAGGAACCTCTCGAAAGGGAACGACTCGGTTCCTAACGTAACCTCGGTTCCCTGAGAGGAGGGAACGAGTATTGCGTAAGCTGCCGTGCTTGTGCTTGTGCTTGGTCAGTTCGCTTCAGTCGATTGAACCTAAAGAACTCAGACGACGGGGCGCCCAATATATAGCCCTTGGCCACGCCCATCTTGGCGGGCTCTGACACGCGCGGGCACGAAGCACGCTCATTGGAAGCGGGTTCAGAGTCGCCCCGTCATAGGTTCGTGCAGTTGCCGCAGCACAGCCAATGACCGAGCTGCCTCGCTCATTGCTGTATGCTGTGCAGCTGCAATGCGTTTTACATAAAGACTTAAAGACTTAAGAATATTTCTCGAGAAAAGGAGTTTTCCCATAGCGTAAGCTACTTACGCAATACTCGTTCCCTCCTCTCAGGGAAC